TTCTGCAAAAGGAGCAAAAATGAGCAAAATGAGCCAAAATTGGAAAGTCAACAAAAGTCAACTCTCGGGAAATGAAAAAGTCAACAAAAGTCAATCCCCGAGGAAATCTTCCAAATGTTGAGACAAACTTACCTCAAGTGGTGAAAATGAGAAAAGAAGCACCGAAATCAAAATTTAATCAGTCCAAAGTGATGAAAACTGAAAGATTTCATGAAAACAACTTGCGTGGAGCGTTGGAAAACGCGTATAAAGCACAGATCTGAGAGGGAGAATGCTCTAGGAAAGGAGAGGGACTGATTTCGGAGTTGGAGTTGTGAGGAAAAAGTGTTTGGCCGAGTGTATTTAAAGAAATGAGAGTGAAAAGACTAAACTGCCCCGGATTTAGGCTAAGTGGTCGGCCGACCACCTTTTGTGGCAGGCCGACCACCCCCTTTGCAAAGAGCTGGTCAGTGGCCTCTCCCTGGGACAAGACGTGGTCGGTGGTGTTCCCCAAGTGTCCACCAAGATCTCTACAAATTTTGGAAAGGATTGGAGTCCCCGGGACCTAAAAAAGTACAAGAGAAGTGCACTTTCTGTCGCGAAATCGCCCTACCGGAACTTCAACTCCAACTTTCAGTGCGTCTGTCATCATTGCTCATCAAAAGTGAGATGTATCCTTTTTGAACACGTTGCGACCCCTCCGGGAGGTAAACCGGAGGTCGCGATTAAGTTGCCCTCATCAAAAACTTGCATTTCTTCGCTCGTCGTTTCATGACAAACATGCATTCTAGTTTGCACTTGCTCTGTATTGTTATGCACGTCACTTGAATTCTCATGCACACCACTCATACTGTTGTGCACGTTTCACGGGTGTTGTCATACCCTCATGCTTAAACCACGTTGTCACGCTCGTTACTCCTCGCATTGCGATGCACTTTTTTATCAACGCCGCGATTGTCTGCATTCAATAGCGTTTTGAAAACATGTTGTTAACAATGTTGTGCTTGTTGAGTCTCTCTCTTTTTAGGGCACGATATTGTATGTACGGTTCATTTGAGGCTGGTGCGACCAGACGAACCGTGCAGGTATTGTATCTTCTCCGTGTGAGACGTGGCGAGAATTGAATAATTCTCCGCATTCTTAACTGCATGAAATGTAGTTGTTGCTTTGCATTCTTGCTTAAAACTGTTGCATCTATTGTGAATATGTGCTTCATTACAGCTTGATGCATTCGCATGATCCTTGAGTTACCTTTAGCTTCTTGCATTGTCGGTTGCATTTTGCCCCTACCTACGGGCATGCCTGCGGGCACATCTCTGCTTATCTCACTTGTTTGTCTAAGTCTTCGGCCTTGTCAAAAATGGGTCGTCTCTGGGCTTTGACATTCACTCCTGTCACTTATGACTTCCGAGTTCTGTCAAAGAGGGTCAACTGTAGACACTCCATTTTTGACCGACCTTAAGACTCAGACGTCACCAGTTGAGCGCTCGGTGATATTGCATATTGTGCTCGTTCAGAAGTTTCAGAATCTCGGCTACGAGCCTTGCCTCTGGACTTCCGGACTCTTTCGTGCCTTGTCTCGGTTTGCGAACCAGGCTCTGTTTTCTCTATTTTCTCTTCCCGAAGGGAGGGAGAGGTCTCAAAGATCATCTCTCAGTGGCCGAAGGCTACGTTTTGTGGTCGTAGGCCATTTTTCCAGTTTGGAGCCCGGTTTCCGGTTTTTCGGAGCCGACAGCCGTGTGCCTCGGTTCGGGACTACCTAACCATCTCTGTTTGCTCCGGTTTTTGGTACACACCTTATTTACTCTCTTTTGAGGGACACTGTGGCTCGAGAGACCAACTTCGTGGTCAAACCCCACCTCCGGTGCTTAACAGCCCATTTTTAGGGCCTCGGGCCGCGCGTTTCGGTCCCCGAACCCCCATTTTGCATCCGTTTTGGTTCATTTTTGGTGGAGACCTTATTTTCATAGTTAGGAAGCTTGTAGGAGGGTGGGAGGCCAGCCATTGTTCTGAAAAACCAGTTTTATCTCTTCATCTCTCTCCGACGCCCGTTTTCCTCACTTGAAAGCCAATGTTGACCACCCTAGAGCCACTTTCTTGAACCCTACACCCCATATTTGTGATGTACACACCTGGGAGGCCACCAATAGTTGGTGGCCGAC